AAAGAAAATAGAAAAATAGTCCAAAACATGGACTAAAAAATTGGCGTCCATCTAGCGGTGAAAGTTGGAACTACAAAAACATAAAAATGCGATTTTCTCGAAAATTAGCGAACTTTGAGTACTTCCGAGGCTCAGAAAGTGTAATGTGATCGCTTTAGAAGCAAAATAATGCAACAACAGCTTCCTAAAAGCTTCAATAAGGAAAATAAAAAAAATGTCATTTTGTGGTGAAAATTTGTGGCGCCATCTAGCGGCGAAACTACGAACTAAACTGAAAAAACGTATGTCCGAACACGCGTCAAGGGGTCAAATAAAAATTGATTTTCTGGGCTTAATAGGCAAAAAAATGAATAACTTATTCAACAAAAATTGCTTTAAAATGTCTAAAGAGGCATAGTACATCATCAAACTTGCGAAATATTACTTTTTATATTTTTCCTTAACGCGTGTTCGGACATACGGTTTTTTAGTTTAGTTCGTAGTTTCGCCGCTAGATGGCGCCACAAATTTTCACCACAAAATGACATTTTTTTTATTTTCCTTATTGAAGCTTTTAGGAAGCTGTTGTTGCATTATTTTGCTTCTAAAGCGATCACATTACACTTTCTGAGCCTCGGAAGTACTCAAAGTTCGCTAATTTTCGAGAAAATCGCATTTTTATGTTTTTGTAGTTCCAACTTTCACCGCTAGATGGACGCCAATTTTTTAGTCCATGTTTTGGACTATTTTTCTATTTTCTTTTCTAGCGCTTTTAGGAGGTTCTTGTGGCGTCATATAGGTTCCAGAGAGGTCACAGAGTGATTTCTGACCCTCAGAAGTACTTAAAATTCGCTAGTTTTCGAGAAAATCGAAATTTTAGTTTTTCGTAGTTCCGCCGCTCGCCGCTAGATGGCGCCACCTGTACCGTTTTGGACCGAATTCGACAAAAATTGATTTCCTGGCTTTATTAGGCATCAAAACGCATCAAACCCTAATAGAAATTTGTTTCTAAATGTCTCAGGAACCATACTGCGTCGTCAAAGTGCCGAAATATTGCACTTTTCATATGCAGTAGAATTGACATATGCGGCTCATGTACGTATCGCAATGCTGATACAAAATAATTAATTACTCATTACCCGAACATTATTTATGAACTTTCATGATTGAAACATGTAAATAATGCATTACTGACCATTCTTTAATCATAAAAGTTCATAAACTGTGCTCAGAAAGTGAGTAATCAAACAGACCTAGTAATCTCCTATATTCCATCATATTATTCCCATTATGTATATTAATAAATAATCATTTTGCAACATATCTGCAAGATTTAAGTTAAGAAAAATTAATAAATTTAAATAATTACAACAATAAATTTGTTAATAAACTACCAAAAAATATAAAATTATAAAAAGTATGACGTTAGAATAGTTATACAGCAACCAATGAGAGTGGCTGCACGCTATTGGTGGATTACATGATGTCTGATTGGCTACTGTACACTAGCAATCACTCTTGCACTTCGATTTGATCTATTGGTCGATTACGTGATATCTAATTGGCTACTGTAAACTACCAATCGCACTTACACTTGAAGAGGTCGCCGCTGCTCAGTTTTGTTTTGG